GCGCGCTGGGTCCGGTTGTCCACTCGCCGGCTGGATGAACGCGCCCTCCACGTGCCTCGGTTTACTCTTGTGCGAGGCGCTGCACACAGGGCTGCGCCCCGGACTCCGGCCCTGGGCGAGGGGCACACCGATCGCCCGTGAGCGCCAGGACCACGAGGGATGCGGGGACGCTCCGGGGCTCGGAGGAGTGGAGAAGGACTGACCCGGGCCCGGCCGGGCCCGGGAGCCCGCGGGGAGGCGCGGGTGGGGGTCAGGCCCGGGTCCCAGCAGCCCGGCCCCACGGAGACTTGTTCAGGACCTCTCACGTGGCCTTTGCACTCAAGGCTGGAGCTCTGCCACGCGAGCCGGAGCCGCATCTCCATTCGGTGGTCCGTGGAAGGCGGGAGATGTGACTCCCATGGACTTACCTGCCCGGGCTGGTTTTCAAGACCACAGAGCCACCAGGATGAGCGCCCGGCGGGAAGCTCCTGTTGGAAAGGCCCCGCAGTCAGCAAGTTGCAGTGATAGTAAACACACGTGTGCTGAGAGGCAGCAGCTGTGAACAGCTTCACCTCTGCTCCGCCTGTGCAATGCTTTTCCCGAACCATTAGTGAACTACAGCCACTGCGTACCTCCTCCTATGAACGGAGGACAAGATAGGCCGAGCACATTCTGGACACTAAACATTTTAAAGCTGTGAGATGATAGTCACCTACAATTTCCCTCAATTATCCCAACAGTATAATTTACAGCATTTGCTTCATTGTTTTCTGTGCCCAGTCCTGGGGCTTGAGCTCCTGCCCTGGGCACTGTCCCTGGGCCTTTCTTTGCTCAAGGCTAGCATAGGCCTGAGTTACAGCTCCACTTCCTTGGGGGTTTGTTTGGGGGGGGGGGTTGTTTTGGAGGGGGTTGTGGTTAATGGAGGAAAGATTTTCAGCCTCCTGAACAGCATTACAGGCATGAGCCACCAGTGCCTGACTAGAGCTTTCTTTTGAAACCCCAGGAACCAGTCAGGGAGCTACACTGTACCCATTTGTGTGTGTGTGTGTGTGTGTGTGTGTGTGCGCGCGCACATGTGAGTGTCAGTACTGGACCTTGGAAACTCAAGGCCTATGTGCTGCCACCTAGCTTTTTCTGCCCAAGGCTGGTGGCTCTACCACTGAAGCCACAGTTCACGTCTTGTTTTTGCTGGTTAATTGCAGATTAGAGTCTCCTAAGCTGCCTTGGGTTGTCTTTGAACTTCAATCCTCAGAACTCAGCTTTCTAGGTCACTAAGATTACAGATAGACACTACTGGCACCTGACATGGTTACACCATTTTTCTGTACTTGTTTGGTCAGGATAATGAACTGCACAAGCATGTGGTATCTTTTGGTGTCCAGTGAGGGGCCACACAGTCTCCCTTTGTGCCAGGGTTGAGGATGAGTTTGAACACAGGTTGCAGGTGGTTTTTTTTTTAGAAGTCTCCATTTTCGTTTTCATGATTAAATAAATAGAGTGGTACTTTGAGACTCTGTAAATATATTGTTTACAAACCACCTTTGACCCTGTGACTTAGCATTTAATGATGCTTATCTCAATCTTCTTTGTGCAAGATTGGTCTTGAAATTTCAGCATTACTATTTTTTTAACATTATTAAGCATCAGGCGGTTTTCTTCAGTGTGTGGGTGTCTGTCTGTCTGTGTGTATTTGCACTGGGGATTGAACTCCTCAGCTTCCTCACTCCAGGCTGTCACTCTTACCACTTGAGCCACATCTCTGCTTTAGGCTTTTTGCTGATTAATTGAAGAGTCTCACAGACTTTCCTGCCTGGGCTGGCTTTGAACCTTGTTCTTCAGCTCTCAGCCTCCTGAGTAACAAGGATGACAGGCGTGAGCCACTGGCCCTGGGTTGTTGATCTTCCATTCCTGAGGGTGGCTCCCGGGTCCCTTAGCCTTTGAGACTTATGGTCGCGGGCTCTTCTTTTGGAAGGTGCCCATCCAGCAAGGACTCGGTTCTGAAGATTTATTTGCTGGTAGAGGGAACAGACCCTTCGGAGTTGAGGGTCTGAAACGGCCCCAAGGGGAAGTTGCCTCCAAGTTGTCAGTCATGAGCAAGCATTACTACATAAACGGGGGTGGGGGGCTGGAGTGTGCAATTGAAAGTGAAAAAAGTGCTTATCTGACAGCAGCATTGGACAATGCTTACAAGAAAACCAATGATGGTAATAACTAAGTCGGTGGTTGTGCAGGAGCCGCGGCGGTGGGAGAGGGCGTGGTCTGCGGGCGGGGCCTGCCGAGGAGGCTCCGCCCCGCTCTCAGGAAGGGCCTGTCTGGGTGGGCGGGGAGCGGGCGCTGCCAGCCTATCCGAGGACTTGCAGGGCGGGGCCGTGGCGGGAGGGGCGGGGCCGTGGCGAGGTGACCCGGAAGTGCGGGCGCCGGGGACCTGTGGGCGGGAGACTGGCCCGGGGATTGGTGTCCGGTAGGGCTGGATTCCCGGCCGGGGACCGGCAGGATGGGCCGGAAGGTGACGGTGGCTACGTGCGCTCTGAACCAGTGGGCCCTGGACTTCGAGGGCAACCTGCACCGGATCTTAAGGAGTGAGTCCGGGGGTGGCGGGGCGGGAGGGGCGCGCGGGCCCGGCACCCCGGAGTCACGTGGGCACCGACCTCCTGGCGCTCTGACCTTCGCCCCCCCCCCCCGCGCCTGTGTACACTGGCTGGGGACACGTGAGCCCCAGTGGGGTGGAGTCTGCAGGCCCGGCGGGAAGAAGAGCTCCCGGGTCGGTGGATTTCTCTAGATCCAGCTGCCCGTCCGCAGACGTGGAGGGGATGAGGGGAGAGGGGGGGGTCTCTGTCCCCAAGGACCTTCCTGGGAGGAGGGGCCACGGGAGACGTCCCCCCACCCCTCCAGAGGATGCAGAGTAAGGGGTGGGCTGGCAGTCAAACTGTTCCAGAGCTTCTCTGCTGAACAGAAAGAGGGTCTGCCAGCAGCCAGATCCCAGTGCTTTTGAAATATGTGTACATCTATCTGCCTGTTTCGTCTCCTTAGAGCAAATGTCTTGGGATGAATAGGGCTGTCTGTCCCCTTCCTTGCCTGGATTCCCACAAGGGCTGCCTAAACCAGATACCCTTATAAGGAGCCGGTGGCCTGTACTGGCACCACTACAGGTTATAAGCTTTCTTGGTCCACCTACAGCTTTTTCCCTGCAGCTAAGTCTTGGCACCCACTTGTTGATAAACTTCTTGATAAATGGAGTTGTAACTTCCACATCCTCCTCTCCTATGTCAGTTCCACAGGCTCCCCTGTTCTCTGTGTAATCCTGTGGGTGTGTACAAATATATGTGAGTAATGTCCTCTGATACTGTTGACAGGGGACCTGACTGCAATTGGAGGGGACATCACAGCATTTTGGGGGGGAAGGGAATGGAGTCTGGTCCCTAGGCTTTGAACTCTGGTCCTGGGCATTCTCCCTAAGCTCAGGCTTTTGCTCAAGGCTAGTGCTCTACCATTTGAGCTACAGCACCATTTCCAGCCTTTTCTGTAATTGATTGGAGATAATAGAGTCTCACAGACTTTCCTGGCCAAGCTAGCTTCAAACCACAATCTTCAGATCTCAGCCTTCAGAGCAGCTAGGATTACAGGTGTGAGCCAGCAGGACTTAGCTCACTGAGCATTATTATCATACCCACTACAGCACAGTGCATTGACAGCCATGGTTACATCCTGGGTTCTGAAATTATGCTCCCCCCCTCCCCATGTCATGTAGGTATTGAAATTGCCAAGAACAAAGGAGCAAGATACAGGCTTGGACCCGAACTGGAAATATGGTGAGAAGCCCATCTGTACTTGGGGGGGGGCATGGCAGTGTGGGTGGCAGGCATGTAGTGGTGGCTGTGTCGGCTTTCTCGGGCTGAAAGGGTGGTATATGCATAGATCTGAGAGCTGTGGAAAGGCCCAGCCCCCTCAGGAGGTGCTCAGCAACATGACATTGGGCCTGGTTTATGCCCAGAGCAGATTGGGCAAGTCTGTTCCTACGTCAGAGCTACCTGGAAACTGTTCTCCGCCTTGCCTCAACCCTGTGCTGCAGTGTGGATATTTGTCCTCCCACAGTCCTGCATTTTGTGTGGTGCTTGGATCCCAGTGCTGAGGGGAATGAGGACTCTGGGGACAGGGGAGAAGGGAACCCTAGAGTTGCTCCTGAATGGGGCATCTCGTCAGTGCCATTTCCTTCTCAACACCAGGAACTGGCTCGGAGCTGAGTCATTATGGTGCTCTGTTTGTTTTTTTGTGTGTGTCAATACTAGGGCTTAAACTCAGAGTCTGGGTGCTGCTACTTAGCTTTTTTGCTCACTGGTGCCCTACCGTTTAAGCCACAGCTTCACTTCTGGCTTTTGGCTGGTTAATTAAAGGGCTGGTTTTGAACCTTGATTCCTCAGATCTCAGCTTCCAGAGTAGCTAGGATGACAGGCCTGAGCCACCAGACCAACTTGGAATCTTTATGCTTTATAACATCACGGAGCACTGTGGGAGAGTCCCTGGAGTCGCTGTGACCAAGGACTACAAACCGAGTTGTTTAGAAAACTGTGAATCTATTCTCTTTAGCTTGGGAGGCCAGAAGTCCAAAACCAGGGTGTCCACAGGATTGCTGTCCCTCTGAA